CTTCCTTGCTCCCCGGCGCCCCTCGGCTGCCAGTCAGACTCGTGGGGACTCGGCCTGGGGGGGGGCTGGCCTCCCCTTCCCCGCCCGACAAGGCAGTGCTGAGCCCAGCGTCTCCACCCCTCCCACGCAGGAGCCAAACCCCGGGGTGAAGAAGCGCGCGGAGCCAGACGCCTGGGCGAGTTCAGTCACCCCCAGTGCAAGCAGGTGCCACGGGACGGAGGTTCCCGTCACCCCCACCGCTCTCCTCCCCTCCGGCTTTCCTTCCACAGCCACACGCCCGCTCAGGTCCCCTGGGAGAGAGCACGGGGCCTGCCAGGGCTAGGAGCAGTCCCGGGGCTCTGGCCGCACACCCGATGCAGCTCTGGGCCCGGAGCCAGCGGGGCTCAGGGAAAGGAACAGCCGAGGGAGCCGCGGCTACAGCTGAGAATGGCCCTTCCGGGAGCAGAGCCACTGGAGCTGTGCAGAAGCATGCAGCAGAACCACTCTCTGCCCGGCCCTGCCCCAGCACAACCCAAAGAAGATGTCGTAGGACGGTCCCGGCATTCGCCAGCCGACCGAGCTCCCGAATGGCGCCATTACTGGCGTGCGCCGCACCGCGGTACCTCGGATGCAGATGCCTGAGCAAGTGACTTTTGCTTGCTTAGTCAATTGCTCTTCACTTTCACAGGCTGGCACCAATGTTCCCTCAAATCTTTCCCATCCGTGTGCAGAATAAATGTGTGCACCGAGGCACGTGCAAATGTGCACCACCACTAGAAACACAAACCTAGCTGGGGCACCCTGCTAATCAGTTGGGGGTATGTGAAGCGCTCGTGCGCAGCCACACAGGTGCTCAGCTGACAGAACACGCTGGCACCCCCATGGGCTACGTGTCCAGGTGAGCTGTGCACACTCCTCTGCCCCTCGCCCCACAGACCAAGTGTTCCGACAGGACCCTGCAGGACAGAGGAAGATCCTGACATGTAAAAGGCGGCGCCTAGGAAGCATCAGTCCACCGAGAAGAGCTCCCCGACAGACCAGCTTTGGCAGGACCCCTGAGTACAGTCAGCAAGACCGACCGGCCGGCCGGCCACAGAGAGGTGCAAGGGAGAGCACAGCGAGGATGCAGCGGTGAGGACGCAGGAGCCAGCCAGCTCGTCCTGCATTCCCTGGTTGCTTCGCTGCCCCAGGGACTCTGAGTGGTTGGGCAGGTCTCACTTCCCAGCTCCCCGACAGACCAGCTTTGGCAGGACCCCTGAGTACAGTCAGCAAGACCGACCGGCCGGCCGGCCACAGAGAGGTGCAAGGGAGAGCACAGCGAGGATGCAGCGGTGAGGACGCAGGAGCCAGCCAGCTCGTCCTGCATTCCCTGGTTGCTTCGCTGCCCCAGGGACTCTGAGTGGTTGGGCAGGTCTCACTTCCCAGCTGCTCGGCAGTGAGCAGAGGGCGCGTCGGGGAAGAGGAGACGCCGGCTCCTCCGCTCGCCCCCGCGTCGGGGAAGAGGAGACGC